GTCTTTCAAGACGAAAAGTTTGTGATGGTCAATCAGATTGTTCTGATGGTTCAGATGAAGATACAAGATTTTGTTGTAAGAAAATTATTCTTTGAAAATGAATTTAATTCATTCCTATTATTTTATAGCACGTTACACTTGTCGACCAACTGAATATCGATGTTTGAGTGGTGGCTGTATTCCATATATTGAACGATGTGATCGAAAAATCGGTAAGCAGAAAAAAAAAGAAAGCTGTTAGCACAATCTCTGTGAGATTCAAATGTGAAACGCAATGTAACTGCTTTTGCTAATCACAAGGAGATAGCTTTATTTTATCTATTTTGGAATGCACTTCTTCACCATTCTTTTACTTGATCCTCCGAAAATACCGTGAGAACGTAGTTCATATATAATAACGAGACATTATTGATATACAATCTTTCATCGCATATCAACAACGTCTCTCATGGTCTCTTGCTACGGTCTGGAGAGCTCCAGATTTTTACCACTATACTTCAACACTTGTTTTAGATCATATTTCATAAGAAAGAAGATAAATTTTCTTTTTATTTAATATAGATTGTAATGATGGTAGTGATGAAAATAATGCATTTCAACCATGTGTATATCCTCAATGTCCCGAAGGACAATTTACATGTACTAATTTTCGTTGTATTGATAATTTTAAACGTTGTAATGGTATGTATACAAATAGAAATTTGAATAAAGGAAAATTCTTATGTTTAAAAAAAAAACAAATAGGATATGATGATTGTAATGATGGTAATGCAACTGATGAAGTCGGTTGTCCATCTCGTATTTGTAATGGAACAAATAGTATGAAATGTCCAAATAATAATATTTGTATTCAAAGATCTTATTTATGTGGTATGTAAAACTCAAAGGAGATTAATTTTATTTTTATGAAATTTCTTTTATTTTTGAATAGATGGTGATAATGATTGTGGTGATAATAGTGATGAAAGTCCAATTTTTTGTCATAGTATTCAATGCAATACAAGTCTATATATAAAATATAAAAGTTTTATTTGTATAAATTTATTTATTTTTTTAAATATAGCGGAATTTCG